AAAGAAAGTGTAGACTGAATTACTAAAGTCAGTGGTAAGTATTGGTTATCTCCACTACTTCAAATGTGTTGCGGATTATTGTATGCATTGAGAGATAAATACGTGCGTCTCCTGAAATGCCCACAACAAACATGGCAGACTCGGGATGCAAGTCTACATAAATTAATAAAAAGAAAGAACAAGAACCAATATATTTGTATAAACAAATGATAATATATTAACAACAAAGTTATACAAGCAACAAGACAATAATGTGTGTAACAAATGAATGTGAAAACCTAATGGTCCAAAGTGAGTGAATGTGCATACATGTACGTGTGTATGTATCATTCATGCATTTTGCCAAAGGAGAAAGAGATTTACATGTTGATGTGTAAGCAGAAAAACTAAGAGAGCAAGAAAAACATCACAGAACATTTATAGTCCTGAGAGCGTCTCCTAGGAGTAGTTTCGAAAATTAGGAGGAGGTAACCTAACAAATGTCATTATAGTAGATTCTTCAGATTTGAAATAGGCGCCCCATTTTTATTTCTTGAACACTGCATATTATGTCTAACAACTGTGCATTTGAGTAATCCTAGTAAAGAAGATGCATTCCCGGCAGGGATTGAACTTGTGTCCCATTTTGTAAAGGGAAACCACTGTTTGATCCAGTGTGTTTTACTGCTGAACTGTTCATGAAGAATATCTCAGCAAGCAAGTTTCTATTCCCCACCACACACACTTTTTTTCCTTTTTAAAAAGAAAACATGCCCACTTTATTCAGAATATTTTTGGAAAGGTTCATATCTGCTAAGTTTTATATCTGAAAAGAAAACAAAGCAATTTCTGAAGAATTAATGGAATCACTTTCAATACATTTCCACTATAGACAAGATGTTAAATGGAATGTGCAGTCAGGCTGGCTGACGGCCATGACACACTGTTTAATAAATAAAAATGAGGTGCGTTTCAAATAAGAATTATCAAATTAATCATGTTTGAAATAATAAAAATGTCAAATTGAAAGTGTGTGTAAAATATATATATATATCGTTGTTGGAATTGTTACCTGATGATCCGGAGTCCTTTTAAATTATTGTAATGGTACCTTAAAGTGGTCTGTTTTTCATTAAATATTAGCTCTGTATTCACATTGAGCTCTCAGGATTTAATCCTCTTTGGAATTACCCATTTGGTTTACCAAGTTCTTAATTTAATTATTTAATTATTTATATATATATATATATATATATATATATATATATATATATATATATATATATATTACACACACACCTGCAGATTCACTAAAATAACCATGTCATGATTAAGAAAATGCCCCAAACTTAACATCAAAGTTTTTATCTTCAAAATCTTTAAGAGGAAAGACCAAAGAATATTTTATTATTAAATTATATTTTTGACCCTTTTTAGAATGTTAGTTAAATATCTTGTTTTTCTTGCGTCATTTAGGCAGGGGAGGGCAAAGATTAGTATAAGAAATTTTAGCATCTTTTTTTGGGGGGGAGGATATATATATATATATTATTCAATAATTTTCAATTCATGACCAACTTGGTAGAAGAATTCCCGCATTAAGCTGCAGTTACTTTTGGTGGTAAGCTGGTTACAAACAAAGGCAATATAGAACCCAGTCTATCCTGCTCTGGGGATATCAACACTAAGATTAAAATTTTGCATTAATTATAGGTGGCGTGATAGATGTGGGACACGTGTATAGTTTTGTGTATGTTTTTTAGTGGTAAAACTCTGAAAACCAAAGTGTTTGTCATTCCTTTTCCACAACCATTCCATTTCGCCTGTGAAATATGGTGTTATCATAGATATAATAATGCCCACAACGGGATGGGGAAATACACATGGGAGAATAAATCTTTCTACCACAGTGCTCTCCCGTTACATAGGCTTGCCTCAAAGTAACCCATTAATGCTCATTGTCACAAAATAAAACAAAGAAACGCATTTAAATCATTTAAATGTTTACTTTGAAGTTAAATACTGATTTTATTTTTTTTTAAGATAACAAAGCTAAATCCATAAAAGGAAGAGAATTTAAAAATTAAGAAATTTTACCAATTTTTAAAACATTTGCATGGTCAACTCAAACAAATTTTAAAAATCTCTTAGTCTTACTTAATTTATCCTATGCTTCAAAAGATAAGTAATACTTAAAAAATACTAATTAACTGGATTCAAAAAGTAATGTTTACTTTAAAAATAATAATGAAAATAACGTTTATTTTACGTACGGTAGCCAATAAGTTGTCACGGTCATCAACAGTAGTCTTCCACAGCCACCCCTAACTTTTTAAAAGCGCACTAAAAATTAAGAAATTGGTACTGTTGGTTGTTGGTCGTCAGATGCGAATAAGCTTTACGATATACGATTGGTAAATAAGTACAGTTTTAACAATATTTCCTAAAGATACACCATTGAAACAGAATATTAAAAAATGTAAAAATAAAATACTCTAATTAAAATTGTAAAAAAAGAAATGAAAACAAATCTTGTAAAACTTAATTTTCGTCGAAATTTTTTTTTTAAGACAATATTGTCCTTATTCATAAAAGCACTTAAAAAGCTTCTCTAATTAACAAATCACGACAGCTATTTAGATGCGATTAAATTTTCCAAAGCGTTCTGTTTTAATACTCACTAAAAAATTATTATGCTGAATTTCTCGAGTTTTCATAAAATTAAGTGGGGCGAAACATGTAAAAAAAAAAAAAAAAAAAAAGATTTTCTAACTATTTCAATTAATGAATGAAACTTATTCACAGATGAATGAAATTATTTTTCTAGTTAGAAAATCTTTTTTTTAGATTCTAACAAGTATTTGATTTTTGCAAGAATTTCAAAGTTAATGGTCTTCACTGCCAAAAAAGACGCTAAAATTTTCTATGCTAATTTAGAACATCTGCTGACCCAAGAAAAACATGATTTTTACAATTTCGAATGTTCTAAAAAGGAACAAAATAAATAAATAAATATTCAAAAATACTTTTGATCTTTCCCCCTTAAAGATTTTTCGACGATAAGACTGTTTTCATTAAGTTTAGAACATTTTTTTCATCACGGTAATTTTCTCGCGATTTTGTGAAAGTATAGTTCTGATAAGTATATAAAATTTTTATTCCTAAGTCTTTATGAAACTAGTTTCAAGAATCCCACTGAAAAATTAAACATTTTTGTTGCGTATATTCTTTCCTGTCAAATCTGAAAGATAACTACTAACTTGACTTTTTTCATCCAATTTTTTTTTTTTTTTTTCAAAGTTTTATCGAATTATTTTTTTTTTGGCAATGTTCAGGACGAATTTTTATACTCACACACACACACACACACACTTGATATTGAATCATTTTTTTTTCCCTTTTTAACTGAACATTTTTCAGGAACTTTTTCTTCTTTATATAACTAAAAAAGTTTCGCGGATATCACCTTCCCAAAATTAAAAGTACACAAGACAAAAAAAAAATTGTGGAGGTGAAACTGACCAAAAATATTTCCCCAAAGTTGCCTTAAAATAACCTATTCGCTCAGTAACTATTCAATCATTAAATGAAGTGATAGTAATGTGCTTTAATTTCCAAGGGGAAAAAACGCACCCTGGTTTGGTAGCACCTACTCTCGCATACCAGGAAATCTTGAATATTATTTTTTTAAGTACATTTAAAACATAATCAAGCATGGCAAAAAACAGTACCTATTTCACTTCTCCCTTCTCCCACACTAACTAATCATTAATGCAGTACTCAAGCCTGTACCAAAATAGACATTTTAAGTGCGTGCGTTTAAAACGTGTTCTGAATAACGTGAAAAAACAAGAGATTGGCTACACGACTTGAATAAAAAATAAAATTGTTGACTAACTAAAACAGTGATACAATCTCACACAATTTTGACAAGTAGATCTTAGGCCTCAGAGAACCATCAGATCACCATAAAACCGAACTTTACCGTGAATTAATTGTTGAATAACTGGTTATTGAAGGCGGATCTCTAGCACAATAACAGGCAAGGTTATCTTATAAAGATAATTATTGGTTGTTATTCTTAGGCTTTCTTTGAATTCATTCTTCTTAACAGTAATTATCAGCACTGTATGCGTGTTCAAATCTAGTATTTGTTAGTCACCTGCTTCATTGACAAGTCCGTCTTCCTCCAGGTAACCAGGACCATGTGCCCGGTAAACGGTCAAGCCAAAATAAAGTTGTATTTTTGATATTTTGGTGGGATATAAATCAATTCTCAAAACATAAAGTGTTTTTTTTTTTTTTTTTTTGTTGTAGGAGTGACCCAGTGAAAGAATGAGACCTTGTTTTCCGATATACAGGAAATGGCGTGTGCAACTTTTTTCTCTTAGATTTTTTTTTTTTTAATGATTTTTAAAATTAATTAATCTATTTAAATTTGTTAATCTCTCAATTTTCAACTGGGAGAAAAAAAAATCCTATGCGACTCTTAAAACTAGTGATCGATTATTTTATTATGCAAGCAAAGCAAACGATACTGAACATCCTTATTTTTTTTAAGTTTTAAAATATTTTTAGCGATTTTTCCCCCCATTTTTAAAACCAAAAACTTTTTTTTTTTTTTAGTTTTGTTTTACTTTTGTTACAATATTTTTACTTGACAACACGAACAACTATGGGATTTTCTTTTCTTTTTAAAACAAGTAAACTAAACAAATGAAAATAGAAAAGTAGAAATTAAAGTTTTGTTTCAGACTGTATGGAATTTTCAAAGAAATAATTCATCTAAGAAAAATAAAATATTCCTTAATAAAATTTCAGAACTCTGTTAATATAAGTGCTAAAAAAAAAAAAAAAAAGATTGACGGACTTATAAAGATAAAGCACGTTATTGACTTTACTTTCAAAACTTACACAACGCTTAAACCGAAACGGTTTCAACAACTAAAAACGTACAAACTTTGAAACCAGAAAACAAATTTGAAAATAACAAAAAAAGCAAATTATATAAAGAAACATACCATATGAATCTGAAAAATATTTCGATTAAACCTGGTATAAATACAGCGTCCCCGTTCACGTGCCATCTCCGATTGAACAAGACAAGAGCAGGCATTATGACCAAAAGAATTAAACTTCACTGACTGACAACCTTATAATTATTATTATTATTCTACTTTCAATACCAACACAGTGTAAAAAGGGAAGGGGAGAAGTCAGTATCATGTGTATGTAAGCAGTAACTTTGAAGACGAGAAAGAAGGAAAAGAAACACAAATGAGTAGTGACTTTCTCGAAAATAGATTCGGTTGTAGTATGAATAGTAGAGTGTGAGTACTGTTGTTCAAGCTGGTCTTGTTGATCCTTAGGACCGAGAAGCGAGTTCGATCCTTACTGGCTGCACTATGCTTGTGACAGATTTGCTACATAAGGAATTGCAGTTTTTATTTTTAAACTGAATTTCAATGAGTTTAAAAGTCTGATTTTAAAAAATCCTATTAAAAAACAAAACAAAACAAAAACATATGTAGAATACTCGTAGACCGTAGACACAATTGGAAAAATCTTTTTTGTTTAATTAAATTTGGCAAAAACCAAAACCCGGAGAAAGGGGAAGATATTTTTGCTTTACTATCGTTAACTAAGAAGATAGTTGCATTTTTACTGATTCAACAATTTTTATTTTATTGTTCCTTTTATTAAAACATCGCAATTATTCTGGAATGTTTTATGCAAAAACAAAAAATCACATTTAGTTTTATTTTTATCTCTAGAAAAATTCGGTAAGAGTCTAGAATCGAGGCATAAGACGGGCCATAATTCGCATGCACAAAAATGAAAGAAAATTTGCTACAGAACAAGAACTTTTTGAAAGAAAAGTTAAATGCAGAAGAAAGAACTTGTGAAAATTATTGCTGTATGACCTTGGTACAGGGACGGACTGAGAGTATTACGGGCCCTCGGACCGAAAATGCAATGGGCCCCCTTTCCCAATTTTTTACAGTTAAATTAAATAACAAACACATATAGAGGCTGTGCAGCAGGTGATCTGTGCGTATTGGCTTAAATAAGAAAAAACTTTAGTTTAAGATTAGTGTACTGTTGGGACGATTCCTAATTTTTTCCGATTCCAATACCGATTCCAGGAAAATGTTGATCCACGATTCCGATACCAAAACGATTTCGATCCGATTCCTTGCCCTACTTAGGAACCTGTATGTGTAGGGAACCCCAATTTTCAGCGATCACGGGAATCGATTACAGGAATCGATCACGGGAATCGCGGAATTGTTTTGAAACGGAAGCCAGTTTTTTTTATGCAATCGTTTTCAATGTTAAATTAATCTTTCTTTTTTCTTTTCTTTTCTTTTTTTTCTTTTCTTTTTTTTTTAATATAATGCTTTAAAAAAACTGTCTGTTGTATTTTTGTAAATATTTTAAAGCAGGACCTTGTTATTTCTTTTAATTTTATTCTTCGTAAATATTTCTAATTATTTTTCTTTTTAACACCTAAAGAAGGATTTTAAAATTCAATGTCTGCATTCATAAAAAAAAAATCCTGAAAAATATTCATTATCTAGATTTATTTTATTTAAAAAAATAGTTAAGAAACTGTTTGTAGGAAGGAGATCAAAGTCAGTTAGTCCCCCTCCCACTCCAAATATACTGTGTCTGTTTTACTGATTAAGTTAAGTGTAATTGGGATTTATAGATAATAAGTTTGACCTAAGAAAATGAAAGAAAGAAAAAAGAGCAAATCAAATACATTTTAATAACGTATTTCTTTGGTTTCATTTTATAACTTGTTATTTTTATGAAAAGGTACATTTCTCTCTTACCGGTTAGAAATATGGAAAAAAAGTTTTCTTTTTTCAACATCAGACTAATTTAAGAGAAACGTAATGAAAGAATCGGAAATCTAAACTAAAGTATTTATTTAACGATGCGATTCCGATTCCCCCAAAACACGATTCTTACGATTAACGATTCCGATTAAACGCCCCATCACTATTTAAGATATGTATGCGTTTATGCATCAAAAGATTTGAAAACTTGAAGCTCATAAAGATGTTCATGGACACATAATGATAGTAACAACAAAGCCGCGTAATGACATGTCAAACAAAATTTCCATTTTATTACTGCGAATCAACACGTAAACAATGTACTAAATTATAAAATTTATAATAGATATTAAAAACAAATAATAAAATGTGTTAACATACACTTTTAAAAATATTACTTACATTTTAATACGTCTTATGCTTTACAATAATACTGAGCCAAAATTTCAAATATCAACTTTCAAGGATTACAGTAACAACATTGTACTCATTTCAGTAGAGGATTCTGCAATTTTATCAATAATTTTGTCTTTGTTTGATTTGATTTTCATTGCTATGTCTTTTTCAATAGCAATTAGCATAAGTGACTCCAAGTTATTTTGTGTGAGCGAAGAACTCAGCCTTGTTTTCAACAGTCTTAGTTTAGAAAAACATCTTTCACATGTGCACTGTGTGATGCTTAGAGTTACAATAAATTTATATGCAGCATATAAATTTTCATATGCAGCTGTACACAGCCTGTACTCAGATAAAGCTTGAAAGCACATGACAAACAATTCTTACATGTTGTCTTGGCAGATGATTGAGTAACATTTGTATCCTCCTCCTCTGAATCCAAGCTGTCTGAATCATTTTCATTGTCATTTATATTTTCTAGCAGCCCTTTTTTCAAGTCTTTGTAGCTTGATGCAAATGAAATCAGTTCATCCTGTAGTGCCACTATGTCAATTTCTGGTATTGCATTAGCAATCAAACCTAGCTCAATGTTTTGTGGGTTTGTGGGGATGCCAAAATGCAGTTGCAACAGCTTCTCCATATTTGCCGCGGTAAGACAAAACTTGAAACCCAATGTAAAATATTGCATCAATTACACTTTAAAACAGAGCGATGCTGAAGAACTTGTTGGGTTCTTAAGGAGAGTTGTTCCTTTAACAAATTGTGCTTATGGATCTTTCACAAGCATTCAGAAAATATGTATCAGTAGAATGCTTATGACACTGGCTCTTTTCATGTTCCAAAAGTCTCGTTGCGATGTGTCTCCAATCAGAACAGCCCTGGATCATCTGTATATTTCGACTTTTTTTCGGGAGCATACATCAGACAAAATGAGCAATGTAAACTCTTATTTTCTTCATTGTATGTTACCCACTTTCTGTTAATATTCATGCCCTGAATGCCTTGTCTATCATATACAACAGCATTATTAAATGGTATATTACATACAGGCTGGTTTGGATGAAATTTCCAGAACATCTCCTGTGAAATTGACGCATTATGGCTGGTATCCAGTTTTAAAAAATACGCACTTTTTGCATGTGTAACCTGCGTACTGGTTGCCATGGAATCAGGCCTTAAAATCTTAGATGGTGACTCATCGAATTCGCTTTCATCAGGTGTGATTTCAAATTCAGATGGTGCATCTGCACATGTTGATGTTTTATCTTGTAAGCCAGTCAGTTGTAACTTTGTCTTGTTCAGAGGATGTAGCTTTCTTAGCAAAAAATGTATCAATTTTATTTGTTGTCTTCTTTATCATGGATATTTTCTCTTTTTTCTCTTTTCTCTTTTGAGCACCACTTTTATGCTTGTGGTCATTAAATAGGGTTTTTAGCTACCTGCACACCAGACAAATAGTTTCTTCTCGGTAAAATCTGTTTGGGGACAATTTTATAAAGAGCAAGTAAGTACACTGTAACAAAGAAAATACAATCGATAGCAAGTATTTATGTAGAATATCAGGTTTTAAAATTATAAAATGAAAATAAAATAATACGTAATTTCAATATTTCAGAACCTAAACGAAAACTAAAGTTTCCATTAATGTAAACATAGAATTCAACTCTATTCATTCACCCTGAAATCCATGAATAAGATTGCAAAATTAGGAATGTCAAAAATCCTTGAAATTTGCGAAATATATGAATAATTTCTGTTTCTTTATCAAAAAAATAGTATCTTTTACTTAGAATAACAATCTATCAGTAAGTAAAAAAATCGAACTTTTAAACGTGATCACTTACCGTCACTTCTCTACAATTATCTAAAATATGAACGCAGGTTAGTTTTATATTCGATGTATATTTGCATATTGATAGGGGGGATAGATTTTTTGGACGCTCCTTCATTGTGAAATTGTTGTTAGTTAGTTAAACTAGGCACATTTCAAATGTTTGAATTATTTTACTAATTAAGATCATACAAAGGTAATTTTTTAATTACACATTACATTTTTGTTTATTAATGGTTATTATTAATTAACAAAAGGATGGCATTTTAATTTTATCGCATTTGGTTTGTTTGTTTTTTTTTTAATTTAATTTACTTGCCTTCTTTTCACGAATCAATAAATAAGAATTATCGGCTAAATTCGAAAGTTGAGTTTTTCGTAAATTCACTTTTTTGATTTATTATTTCGACTATGTATTTACAAATAATAGTTCTATTTATTTATTTGGAAGTTTGTTCTCTATGAGTTAAGTAATAATTTTCTCTTTAATTTTTTTTTCTAAGGAGTTAAAAAACAGACTTCCAAAACACAGCGACTATAAATATATAAAATAATGTCTGAAGAGCAAACAAGATAAGAGACACGACTGCAATTGCACATTGCACAGTCACAGTGAGTGCACATACGTATAAAAATATCTTTTCAACTGAAATTATATCAAGGATTTGTGGTAAGATCTAATGCACTCACTGTCATAAATTGACTGTTAGTATTATTAACCCCTTCGTCAATTTAAAAACAATATTGATTAAAAATTTTTTTTAAATATTTTGCTTGAATTCGCATTAAACCTTCTTATTGACATTTTAAAAACTTTGACTTAAGAAATTACATAATGCGAATATAAATTTACTCAATATTTGTAACAAATTAGCATAATTACAGATGTAAACAAAATAATTAGTCAATATTTTTAACTTACTGAAATGCTTGGCAATGGCAACAGACAGGAATTTAAGGTGTCCTTTCTTTGGAAATTCTAAATATCATATGAAAATTTTAGTGTCTTTTGGGAGTGACGGGGATGGGAGAGAGAGTTCGCTA